TGAAAGGGAAAATGTAGTGCTCAGTCTAGCAAGGGTTGCTCTCAAAGAAGCTTCAAAGACGGAGGACCTGCTTGTTAGACAATCTGCAACAGTGAGTATTTGCAAGGCCCCTTGTACAATGGACCATTCCTCCTCATTTGATATGTCAACTTTCCGTGCATTTTGAGTTCCTTCCTTTTTATCCACACCCATCTCCTTTTTTGAAGTAACACCGTCACCAACATTATCGACTCCACAGACTGCTCTTAATGACTTGAGGAGTTCTTGCAGGGTAGAAATGTACTGTAACATTATGTCATCAAGTGCAAGAATTAGCTCATCTGCCTCAGAACCACCAGTAAAGCTTATGCACCTCTCTACAGCTGCTTCAAGAAGTACAATAACTTGAGGAATAGACTCCTCCATTCTTCTCACTGTCTCACTGAGTTCAATACCCTGGGCTCCAACACCACGAGTAACAGCTCCCCTCAAATCCACCCCTGCAATCTCAGAGGAAAGAATAGCACGCTCCATCTGTCCGTACCTAGAGCACATCTACTTATTAGTTAAGTTGTGGTAAACACCATCACATTGTCTACCATTTATAACATAGAAAGAGAATCAGATTCAGGCCAGACATTAATTGGATTCAAACGGCTAATTTAAAAATACTTGAAAAAATGGGAATCATCTAGAGTGTCATATAATTAAAACCACGGATTTAGTTTTCTAAATAATAACCTACCTCTGTTTAAAAATGTCATAAGGAATGTATACAGCTTTCATTGTATCAATTAAAATACGGACATCAGATTCTGAAAACAAGTGTTGAATATTCCTTGCAAAGGTACCCGTCATATTGTGTAACTCAATTAAGGCCTCCAAATGCTTAGTCTGCAGCCTGATGCCCTTTGGCATATCTCCAGATAAAATATCCAATATACCTGAAGTTATATGACTTTAATCAGATGAATCAAAGGGTAGAAAAACTGAATGTTTGAATAAACTTAGAAACACCATAAGAAAAGAACACTGATGTCGGAATTAGGCAACCACTACTTAAAGGAATGATAAATATAGGAAGATAGTTAGCATTATAGATCTCCAATGGTCCTACAATGCTTGAAGTTGCACTTCATTATATCCAAGCTCATCAACCAAGACAAGTGAGAAGAATTTTGCACCAAACCCATCTTGGATTGTCATTTGTCCAGGTAGAAGCTTCTGTCTTAGGATTAGCATACAAAGTACTCAGTGACGAGTACCATACAAACTAATAAATGGGAATCACAACATACTAATCATGTGAACAAACCCAGCATCAGGAATTTGCAGATGAAAAAAAAAAAAAAAAAAAAAACTCTTCAAAATAAGAGAAGATAAGCTGTTCAAGGGAACACATAGCACACAATCACAGATGAGTGATAGAAAACAGGTACTTTCCAAAAGAGAACTCTCCTATTTTTCTAATCCTAGAGTGAACTCTATAGTTTACTTTTACCCATTGGTACTAAACAGTTTCTTCAGAACAAGGCTCCAATATTAACCAAAGAATACTTTTGGATACAAAATGAGAATTGTACGATCTGAACCAGCAGTCATCTCAAGAATCTAAAAAGTGCAGCAGTGAATAATTGAATGATGTATCACCATCAGAACATACAAAGTAGCATATGTTATCAAAAGAGAAGAAATGATTTCTTTTTATAGAAATTCTAAATTATATAACTCTAAAAGATATTAAATATAACCTTTAGCCAGTGCTTTAGTTTCAGGAATAACATCTCCAGTAGCAAGGTTAATACGTGAAACAAAGCTTGCCCCTACAGTACCCATTGTCTCGATTAACAGCTTCGGAACAAGAGTTCTGTAATCATCTGGAAAAGCAACCATACACCTACAGGACAACCAGTTTTAGATAGATGCTTAAAATGTAATGAAAAAACAATGCTAGGCCATAACACTGTCTACTGATACATTCTAATTGCTTATTCATATAGTGAAAAATCATTATACACAAAATGAACTAGTTTCTATGATATGTTGACTACCAAAGCTGTCTAAATAATGTGGATGGATTAAGTACCGAGGAGAACAAGCTAATTTGCCATGGGAACATCAGAAATTTGAATGCCTCACTCTAAAGTACGCAATTTAGATGTTTCAGAAAATAAGGTAGCCTAAACTAAGTGGTAGTATTACCATGAAATCCATCATGTGTAGAAATTAATGGCTCTTGCTTCTATTATTTTGACCAAATAGCTCAGAGAATATGAAAGAATTTATAAGTAAGCAATATGAAAATTACCACTTCCACTCTTGTTCAAGATACAGGAGCAATTCGTCATAGAAACTTGGCAACCAACTGAAAAATGAAACTGAAGGCGAACTTGATTGAAACTCATTATTACTTGATAGTCTTTCAAGCTCATTCTTCTCATTTGCAAGTTTACTGGCTCGTTGTCTTGATTCAAAATCTTCCCAGAGCTGTTTTATATGCTTTAAGTGAACTTTTGTATAATGCAGCTCTAGAGACTTGAATCGCCCAATTCGAATGAGAATTCCCCGCAAATCTCGGGCAATATCAATCTGAATAATAGCAAAAGGTTGAACACATGGCAATTCATAAAGAATTTTACAGAACAACAAAACAAAAAGAAAAAAAAAATTACCTTGCGATTCGATAATGCATCGGTGAGACGAGGCTGCACCATTGCATCTAGTCTATCCTCTAAGACCTCAAGTTGCTTCCTAATGTTTGCAAATTCAGCAACCTAACAAACATAGATTTAAAAAAATTAAATAAATTAATAAAGAATCAAATCACACAAACAAAACTTTGTGAATCACAGAATCATAATATAACTGCACTTGGGGAAAACTGAAAATATTACCTCTCCAACAGCTGACAAGCAATGCCTCATGTTGGCCAAGGTTTCTGCAGCCCGAGGAAGATCACCACTGGCAAACACTTCCTCGACAGTCGAACTTAATTGAGTTAATCCAGCAGCATCCTGTAATTATGCGATTAAAAAAATTAAAAATTTATATAAATCATCAAACACACAAAATCTACAACAAAAACAGTCTCTACCTGCAATGTCTCATAAGCAGCTTCCATTCTTTGCCTGACAGTATCAACTTTAGCTAAGGCCGCTATTGACTCTGCAGAAGATCCCTCTGCCTGCAAGAGAGACATCCCTTGTTACAAAAACACACAACCATTCTGATTAACAATACAATCAGCTGACACAGTATACAAAAATCCAGTAGTTCTCCGAACATGTATTGATTTGTACGAAAGAACTATGATACTGGCTCAAGCTAGTTACAATGCAAATTTGCTAACATTATCCAATCACACATTATAAGATACTGCAACTATATTACCAAAATGAGGTCGTGCAATTTCATTGCTAATAATTTGACATTAAATGTTACATTTTATCAATAACTCATTGATCACAGTACCGCTACCCAAATTTTCATCCCATTCAGTACCATTCAATGATTTATACACAGGAAATTGCTACTGCATCAATATGTGTATCCCTGTATCGTTAAGGGCTCAACAATTTTGAGTGATCTAGATTTTATCATTATATAAACTAGATCTCTAATGTATACCTTCTTGAGCTTCTGGAGAATTCCGGAGACGGAACCGCGGAGCGACACAGCGTCGTCACGTAGGCGGACCACGTCTCTAGTGGCGCGAGGCACACGTAGAAGGGCGGCTGCACTCTGCTCCTCGAGAGAAGCGGCGATTTCTTCGGAGACCATTTGGAGCTTCATTTCGAGATCCACCAGGTGATTGTCGAAAGAGTCCTGCGAGTGCCGAGTTTGACTCGCCGAGTTGATCCATTTCTTCGGGTCGAATTTCTCGTCCGAGAACGGACCTAGATCCGGCATCATGGCGACTGATTTGAATTGGATCTAGCCAGAGGACTCGAGTCCGTTACTTACAGTCAGTCTGTTTTTTCGAGCTCTTGCTTGCAGTTGGGTAAGGAGTATGGTAGTCAGGGGGGCAATTGCAATAGTTTAAAAACTTATGGTATAACAGGATAAATAGACAAAATTTGGTTTCTGTTTGGGTACAAGAGGATGTTGTTCTTTGTAAGGAATAGGATGAAACCATTTCATTGACTGGATTAAAAAATAATTCAACGTAATACATTTACATTTTCATTGAAATTTTAATAAAATTGTAATTGATATTGGCAAAATATGATATAATTGAAAATTTTGTAGATCATTTCCCAAATATTAAAGTAATTAATTAATGTCAACTAGTATGATCTAATATCAATAAGATAATAATTAATTTAATTTCATCTAATTATTAATTATACATTTAAAAAACATAATAAGCTACAATTCTCTTTTAAAACTGATTAACCAGTTTTATACTTTTATGAATTGAATCAATTTTTCGGTTTAGGAATTTTCTTGAACTGAAACCGAACCGGTTAAAAAAAATATCGGTTTTTAACTGATTTTAATTTAATATTTAATATTTTAATAATAAATCAGATTTTTTTAATTGTATATTTTAATTTAATATTTTTATATTAAACTATTAACCGGTTTCGGTTAACACTTTTTATATTCTCCCAAATCGATACCTAAACCGAAAATTCGATTTTTATTTTCTTTGAACCGAAACCGAACTGATTTTTCAGATAACAAAAAATTGATTCGATTCGGTTTTTGTATTTTTTTAAACAATCCTATCTTTACCATCTCAATTTATTGTCATGACCAAATACTGTAAAAGCTTCTATACTTTACTAACTAAATTACTAGTTTTATCTTCTATTATCTTGCTATTTAATACATCATTACAAGGTTAATTACTTTTTTTATTTGAGACATTAACAGATTAAATTCCCTGATTTAAAACAAACAAGAAATTAAATTAAATATTTAATTAATCAAAATTAAGATATTACATTATTACATAAAGCGCAAGGGGGGGAAGGGGAAAACAAATATCAGAGTTGCACTTGCTGACGTGTCCTTCTCCTTCCAGAATTATCCATAACAGAATTCTCTCCAGAATCTTCTCTGCCTTCTCGCACCTTCGCCTCCTCCTATAAATGCACTTCACCTCTTCTACCATTTCGTCTTCAGCAAGTAAATAGCTACGATTCAGCAAACACAGTCGTTTCGTTTGTTCTAAGGACCTACTCTTAAGTCATGAATGGCGTCCTCGCTTGCTCTCAAGAGATTTGTATCCTCAACTCTCCTCCCAAGGTCTCTCAGACGAACCATCGCTCCGACTGCCACCTCAGCCTCCCGCTTCTTCAACACCAATGCTGTTCGTGAATACGATGACTCTGTCTCCGGTGAACTCGACTTTGACAGGCGCTCTGCTCCTCGCCGCCGCGATTTCTTCTCAGGTACGTGTATGATATGTGTTTCAATATTTAAACTCTCTTAGTTTGTGTTCAAGTTTTTGAAAATCAACTAAGATTTGATCCATTTTGTTTGTAGATGTGTTTGATCCGTTCTCTCCTACAAGGAGCTTGAGCCAGGTCCTTAACCTGGTGGACCAAATGACAGAGAATCCGTTGTTTGCCGGGACACGTGGCGGCCTACGCCGAGGTTGGGATGCAAAGGAAGACGAAGACGCCCTGAATCTCCGAATCGACATGCCGGGGCTGGGTAAAGAAGATGTGAAGGTGTCAGTGGAACAGAGCACTCTGGTGATCAAAGGTGAAGGAGGGAAAGAAGGTGATGATGAAGAGAGCGTTCGAAGGTACACGAGCAGAATCGATTTGCCTGAGAAGATGTACAAGACCGATAGCATCAAGGCGGAGATGAAGAACGGTGTGTTGAAGGTGGTGGTGCCTAAGGTTAAGGAAGAGGAGAGGAGTGACGTTGTTCATGTGAGCGTTGAGTGAAAGGCGAGAGGTTTTAGTGAATAATTTCGTAATTGGTATTTGGTAGCGAGTGTAGTGTGAGGTTACTGTTGGAATCTGATTCTCTAATCATGTTACTGTTTCGTCTTCTTAAGTGAAAAGAGGTTTTTCGTTTCTGGTATCTGATTTTTGAGGTTTTTTTTTTTTTTTTTTTCTATTTTCACTAATTTTTCCGTAAATTAGCCTTAATCTTATTCTTAGCTCTTAAGAAAACAGAGAGAAAAGGTTAATAAATTCAATAGCTGTCTGATAATTCTCATTATACACAAAAGGAAAGACTACTTTTGGAACTAATCTGGTGGGTTTGGCACGGATTCCATCGGATTATTATTATTATTATTATATATATATTTTTTTTTTTTTTGGGTCGGTGGGTGTTTTGTGTTCGGGGTGATGGTGGATTGGATTTTACTATAATAATATAATTTAAAAAGTTAATTTGGTAATTGTACTACGTCTACTTTATTTTTTAAAAATTTATTAAGAATAATTCGAAAAAAATTTAAAAATTACTGATGAACAATAATTCAGAAAAGATAATAAAAAATAGAAATAATTCCAAAATGACATGACTAAATTAAGGTCAATTACTGAATATGTAACTACTTTTGTATAGTATTTAATAAAATATTTAAAAGTCATATATTCAATTATTGAAAATACAATTTCACAAATAAATGAAATAATTTAATTGTAATTTAATTTATTATGTAATTAATCAATTATTGAGATAATTGTTTATTAAATAGTCTGTTAATCGTTCAAAAATGGTTTGAGAATTGTCTTCTATGTTTTGTCGCACTCTATTTCACTTGTCTGCTATAGATCCAAAAGATGGGTGGGTTTATTTTGCCCCATTTAATGCGTCCTGTCATATGCAGCTTTGATTTAATCCGGTCACTGCCAAAGCCAGCCAAACAAGATACAAACGAGAATTAGTGAAGTCCGGTGAATTATCTCCGTAGTTTTTTAGTTTTTTTATTTAAGAAATATTACGGTAACATGGTGGTATTTGTGTGGTCCTGATAGTAGGGCTGTAAGCGAGCTGAGTCACTCGCGGTTGGACTCGAATGAGCTAGGTTTGGCTTGATAAAAGTCGAGTCAAGTTTGAGCAGCTCGAATACCCTCTCGAGCCAAGTTACGAAATACCCATTATTCGGTTTGATAGGCTTGTGAATGACTCGAAGAGGTATAAGTGTTATTTTTTTAAGTATTAGGGGGTTATATATATAATAATTTATTATATTCAATATAAATTATCCCACTGCTTAAACTCTATCTTCTTTCTTTAGCGTCGCCACTTTCTCCTTCCCTTTTCTTCATCTTTTTTCTCCTTCGTCTTTTTCCTCCTCTATTTTCCTTCTTCTTCACCTTTCTTCTTACTTCTCCTTCGATCTTCCATCTCTTTCCTTCTCCCTCTTTGCTTTTCTTTGCTTTTCTTTTCTCTACTCTTCTTCTATCTCTCACAGTTGATTGAATTTTGAGTCATATATTTGTGGCTATTTGGCTTTGGATCTGATGATGGTTGGTGATGATTAGTGGGTTGGCTTTGTATTGGGGTTATTTTGAAGGATTGTTGATGGATTGCTTTAGATTGAGGACTTATAAACGAGCGATTTGCGAGCTGAATTTGAGCTCAAAATATTTAACGAACTCGAGCTTCAAGCCTGGTTTTCAGAGTTCGTCGAACTCGAGTTCGAGCTCGTTAAATTTTTATGAGCCAAGCTCGAACACCGTAGTGTTCAACTCGGTTCGGCTCATATACAGTCCTATCTGGTAGTATCAAGAGAAAACTTTAGTCCAGTCGACCTTGATAATGTCGATGGACGTGTCTGATGACATTTGTATTGGAGGTCAACAACTACTGTTGTCCAATAGATTTGTCGGTTTAAATATTTTTTAAATATTTAAAGTTTTTATTTTAATTCATATTTCTGTATTTTATATTATATATTAGAGTTTTGTTTAATCTTAAAGCGTTTGATAATTCAATATTCTAGAAGTTAATTTTAAAATCTAACAGCTATAAATATCTATTTTTGGAAATATTAAATAAAATAGATTGTAAAATAAAATGGAAACGGAAATGAGTGATTATAAGGGAAGTTACAAAACTCATCCTAAATATTGTTGTTATTTTAAAAAAATGAAAAATGGATAAAAAGAAAAAAATGAAAGGTGGCATGAATTTATAGGTTTGTTATACATTTGTAACATATGTGCTATGGTATCCTTGTATTTTCACCTCGCTCCCTCTTATTATTGTACTCTCATTTTCCGTTGTTTATCCAGTAGATTAGTGAAGAGTCTTTTCTTGCTATTCAAGCTTCTACTCATACTTGTTAATGGCGTCCTCTCTCGCTCTCAGGAAACTTTTTCTCAACTCGCGTCCTTAGCTCATTCACCCGCACAATCGCTCTACTGCAAACCTCAGCCTCTCACTTCTTCAACACGACAATATCAACGGTACTCGTCAATACGGCTACGACTCTTTTTAATTTGTGTGAGTTTAAACCAGGTTGGGATTTGAAAGAAGACGAAAATGCCTGAATCTCCGAATGGATATGCCGGGGCTGGGGAAGGATGACGTGAAGGTAACAGTGGAAACAGGGTCTCTGGTGGTTAAAGCTGGTGAAGGAGCGAACGAAGGTGGTGATGAAGGTAGCGTTGGAAGGTCCATGAGAATTTTCTTTGCCAGGTAGATGTACAAGAGCAATGAGATCAAGGCAGAGACGAAGGTGGTGGTTCCTTAGGTCAAGGAAGAGGAGAGTAATTGTGTGATGTGATTCGTGTTAAGGTTGAGTGATATTCTTGCTCTTGTAAAAAATTGGACATAATTGTTGAATCGAATCAAGAATTAAATTCCCTGTTGATTTGGATTCATCCCCAGTAACTTGATCATTTTGCAGCTTTACTCAAGTTTCAAGCACCAAGTAGAATACGAGAAAACCTTGACATGACATTCAACAAGTCTTCCAACCAACCCCACCCAAGATTTCAGCCTCCTGGTTCTAAAGTTTCAGAACAATGATCACCTAATAAACATGAAACCGTTGGATTAGCATTTTTTCCAGCTGTAAGGAATATAGTAGTAACCCACTTTGTCTTCTTCATTGAGCTGTTGCTGTTGAGTCAGGAACGAGAAGTGAGTTAAGCGGTTTGTGATTCACGAGAGCTTGAACTTGATTTGAAGTCAATTGAGTCGAGCTTGAGCTCGAGTGGCTCTTTTAAGACGTTGAGGCTCGAGTGGCTCTTTTAAGACGTTGAGCCGAGTTTGATTCGGGTGAAGCTTAGCTCAATCTTCATTGCGCTCGAAGGGTTAAATTACAAGTTTTGTATTTTTTTTTTATTTTAAGTTTATAAAATGACAAACAGCTCTTTTCACAATAAACTCAAAGCTCTAGTTTAAGTATCCATCCATATTCGCGAGCTTGAGCTCGAGCCCAAGTATTTAAGATTGGTTCAAATTTGAATTTGATACTGTTTATCACGAACTGAGCTTGAGTGTCTAAATACTCCGCTCGGCTCGTGTATACCCCTACTGTTGACTGTAATTCATTTCATCTTAACTTCTTAGCTCATACACAGCTTCTAATTCCAATTAATATCCTGCGTATTTTTAAATGAATTGATTATTGCTTTTCATTGGATCTAGCCCCTTTTCTTCTTTCCAGTTCCTGGTGTTGGACTGTCTTAAACTAGTGAAGATCATGGACCAGAACCATAAGGCCATCAACAGATGACCAATTTACGGGCTACCTTTCTGCTACCAAACCCATTAAACATTTAGACTGGACTCACATTCTTAATCTTGGCTTCTTGGGCTGTCATCTATATAAACGTACAATATTCCACGTGTAAATTAAAGATTATAAAAGCATTCCTCATGTACCCTAATTTATTATTTACACATAATTAAATCACTTTATGAAAGTTTTAAATAGTGCTACAATTTTCACATAGTGCAACTAACTTTATGCTTGAATTTAATATATATATATATATATATTTTTTTTTTTATATCTAGAGATGTTTAAGTTAGTTTGCGTGTATTTCAACTAGTTTTCTAAGACTTGAAGTTAAGGATTAAATAAGTTTCTATTCGAATTTAAAATCTTTTGAGTAATACATTCAAAAATTCTAAACGAATTACCAAACTATTTAGAGATAGTTTTTTATGTTTTAAATTCGTGTCATTTGAGATTTGGTGAGGCATCATTATATTAAATTTGATATTGGATTGATGAGTTATATAAACACCTAGAAAGAATATCTTAATATAGAAAAAGAATTGCTTGTTTAAGGGCGCACCAGAATACATACACAATAAGTTTTCAATAATAAACAGGTTATACCTTTTGGAGACAGTGTAAATGACAAGACGGAAGAACTCTGGAAGCAGCGACCAGCCTACCAGGTGATTACTGATTATATATATATATATATATATATATATAATACATTCAAATTGTATACCTCGTGCGGCAGGCCACTGCATCTATCTTCTGCTAATTAAACAATTGAATATTTTTCTTTCTTATACACAGCAGCCTCTAGCCTCTGTACCCTGTACTCCTGTAGTCTGTACTCTGTGGTCAACTTTCAATCACCGCTAAGTCAAGCCCGGGGTGTTTACTCTAGAACATCAAAATATGTGTGCTTGAAGGGCCCTTTTTAATTTGAAAAAGATTTCTCCAAGTTGTGGACGATCCTATTATTGGTATTCACTATTATTGATGTATAATAATAAATTGCTTAGAATGATGTAAGTTCCCATTTGCTCTGGAATCTTATATTCTGATTATGTAAAAACGTGGTCAATAAATGTCTACGCAATCTGGATTGGAAACCGAATGCCCTCCATCCATTTTGTGCTATAATCATCATTGGATGATCGAAAGGTCAATTATAACTTTTGGATGTATTACTCAAGAGGTTCTAAGTTTGATTCATCTGGGTTGGTCACTGAGAGAATTTATCAAACTGTTAACTTCAGGATCCTAAAAAATTAATTGAACTATACATGAACTGATAAAAAAATAAAAAATCGCTC